CTCTTCTTTCACTGCCTACGTGACCATTCAGATCACCTGCTATGGTGAGGTAGTCACCTTCCGGAATCGTTCTGATGGCATCGGCCGAAATAGGAACTCGTCCTTGTCACTTTCGGGGCATCCGGCTTGCGGAGCGTACACAGAGATACGGTCCATCCTCACAGCCATGATCCGATCGCTGATCCTGTTCACTGCGGAGACATGGTCTTTGAGCGACTCCGCTACCGCTATGGCCACACCGTTCCGCTTGGTGTCTTCCCCATTGTAGTAGAGTTTGACACCTTCCCCGATTTCCCTGGCCTTAGCACCTTTCCATCGCGTCTCCTGAAGGCATAGCACTTGGATATTCCTGCGCGTCATCAGATCAGCAACCTCTCGGGACTTCCCAGTTAGCGATCCTACGTTCAGAGTCCCTATTCGAACTAGCTTCTTTGGCCGAGGCCGTTCACTCCTCGGTAGCCCTCGCATACTGACCACAGAACTCGGGCGGGGGTTCTGCGCGCCACTTCCGGGTGACGTCCTAGCTTTATCACTGATTCTTTTGCGACTTTTAGACATGTTGGTGTGACTGGGGTGTTCATCAGCCGGCCTGTCAACCTGGGCCTGACGCTGGTACTAGAACCATTTTTGCAATTTTTGCAAGGCATGGTTAGCCTCGGCAGGGATCGAACTCGCGGTTTTTCCAGGCGTATGACATGAGTTCAACCTCTTAGCCGCTCGGGATATTTGTAATAGCTTCCTTGTAGCTAGTTCGTTGGGCCGATGTGTCGTAAATATCTGCAAAGATTTATCGTATTCCATTCATAATGGCATTGTCTATGCCACAAATACTTGGTTACCTATGGCGCACACTGTATCTATTGCTCATCTATACTATGGAATTACCTACATACACCTATGGAAACCAGCCCTAATGAATACCGTTTAAAATTAGTAAATGCAGCATCAATAATGCAAACACTGAAAATGAAACATAAAAAACAAACATTAATTAAACAATTAAATTAACCATTAAAAACACCTATACGGAAGTACGACGGCCTTATCAGATATCAATTTCAGACTACCTTTATGTTTTGTTATGACGACTTTCGAAGCAATTATAATTGGAGGTGCCACGTTTTGAGCTCCAAAATAATTTTTGTGAAAGCTGTTACTATCAAACATAAGTGTTACTTGACAGGGTTTTTCAGGGAATTATGGATTGACATAGAGTAGTGGCCAAAAATGTTCGCCGGAACTGTTTTTTTGTGCTCCTCTTTTCTTTTGCCAAACAAAAATCAGCAATGATCTCGAAACTTTTTGCTTTTGAATATCCCAATTCTGCAGAACAAGGGAAAAAACATTATATGAAACACAGTATATCAATTTTTGGAGGCGTTGAGTAAGTGAGAAAAAAATAATGCACTAAAAATCGTTTCGTCGAACACTTTTGACCGGTTCTGTACCTCATGTGGTCAGGTCGATCGCCACGATCTCGCATGAGGTTTTCCTAACTAAAAGTTGACATCGTTTGGATCGCTGAAAATCTCCTTCGAAAAAAGAAAGTTTACTGGAGACCTTTCGACCCTTGAGAATCGTGAGCTCGTTACAAATTGTAATATGCCTTTGAAATTTGCATTTGATGTTGGAAAAATAAGTGGTGGTAATAACCTACCAAGGTAACCATTGCAAGTTGCTACTCTTAGAAGTGACAGATGATTTACTTCTATTGTTTTCATTGTTTCAGGTCCGATAGCAAACGTGTTGTCTTTCGGGCGTTAGCATTTTTTTCATGGATACTCACCGGTGCCGATTGAAGGTTCAGCGCGTTCGCTTGGAGACCTGCAGATAAAACTAGTTTCAATCGCGAATCACATCAATTATGGCAAATTTACTCCGATACGTGATTCCCGCCAGGAGTGGTTATCTCAGTTTTTGAAACATGCAGCGAATTTTTTTTTTCATTAATCCTTCCTAGATGGACTTTTAGCCATCAGTGCTACTTGATTTTCTTTTCAGCGAAGAAGGCTCTTTTTCGTCTTTCCAGGAGTTCTTTTTCTTTTTCTCGAGGTAGTGTGGTAATAGAAAGCTCTAGTCTATTGACGTGCAGAATTAACACATAAACTCTGTACAAGAATATACCGTAGCGATCACCAACATTGAACCTCTCACTGACGCTCACCCATTTTTATTTTTATTTAGTGAAGCCCTGATTGAAGGCACATTGTTCACTGAATTGCCGCTCGTCGCTTCCTGGGAAGGTTGGGTGAATAAGTTCAGGGTCTCGCGTAAAGTCTACTCCCTACTTCTAATAGTTTATGCATTTGAGATTTACATTTACAACAGACTTTCTCCCGAAGGTGTGGTAGTTTTTGACGGGGTAACATCCAAAGTGCAGCTCCATTGGAGTTCATAAGTTCCTTTAAATTTGGTGCACACAGAAGCAGAAAAAACCGTTGAATTCAGCAAGATCACTACTTCAAGCATATGCTAGATTTTTGGACGTGAACGCTTTCTCCTCCCGAGGCTTTTCTAATATCCACTTCAGAGGTCAGTCAGCAAAGTCGCTGCACTTTCCTCCACTTTGATTTGTTTAAAGGCAAACTCCGGAATTAAACTTGTGCTAAGACAGCCTCGCAGTGATAGCTAAGCTGCGGAGTGACCCCCAAAAATGGAGAGGGAAGCGAGAGAACTCTTTGGGAACGCTGAACTTAAGGCCTTAACCTTCAAAAAGGTCGGATGTGGTACGACGGCAAGACAGGGCGATCAGAGAGGTCAAAACACGCGAGAGAGAACGTCGTTTGAGAGAGCACGCTGATCTCTACATCAATGCACGCTGATCTCACCACATCTCGCGGTGGGTGGGAAGCGTTCGATGGTTGGAGGCCCGTAAGGATTAGCGCCCTAACCGCGCGATTTTCGCGACCAAGTTGAAGTGATCTAGGTAGTACGGGTCTTACAATTTCTCCTCGCGGTATCCTTCCTACTAGTCGGGCTAATCCCCCGGGGTTTGCTTTTAAGAGCAATTGGGAGTTCGCTTGTGCTCAATGGGACATGACATATTTTAGTAAGAAGTCTCGTTCAATATAGGATGCACCACAATCGTCGCGGTGCGTAGTCGCAGTCAAATTTGGAAGTCTGTTCTCGTTTCCCACTTCGCCATGCCTTGGCACCTTCGAATTTTTTGATTGGCACTTGTGGTTACGACCCTCTCCCTTCTGTTAACCACACACGACCCCATCGTTGTTCATTGCGCAGGTGACCCCTCCCAGGAATCTTCCCTTCTCATCGCTTTTCCAAGCCATATTTCTCAATGTTTACAACAATAAAAGACATAATTTTTCGGGTTTTTCTGCTTAATTTCCTTAGCTTTACCTGTTCTTGCTTGCTTTTTGCATTGCTCTTCTTGTCAAATGACACTTAGGGGTGACGGTGCTTGTTGGTAATCAGCAGTTTATGGTCAAAACCAACATATTAGCTGTGTTTCGAGGGGGCGGAAGTGGTGTAGTGACAAGTGGCGCGCTTACCACGCGAGCGGTCCGGGGATCAAATCCTGGGTCGTGAGTCGCCCGGGCCAACCAAGCCTTCCATCCCTCCGGGGTCGGTTAATTGGTACCAGACTTGTCTGGGAGGATAAAAACACTGACTTGTACATCGGCTGGCCCCCGCAAGTCATTGTATAGGCCACATCGCATTCAAACGCCACTACGAATGTACAAATGGAAGTAGAATGCGTGCCGCATCCCAAAAAGGGATTGATCAACGGCAAATGCTTTATCCTTTATCCTTTTATCTTCGAAGTTTCGAATATTTGTTGGGTCGCAATTAGATTATAGTCTCGCCGTGAGTGAGGTATCACGAATCCAAAGCACATATGTTGTGGCTCGTTCTCGTAAGAAGTGCTCCACAAGTGAGGAGGGCCTGGCCTTGACCACTACGGATGATGAATTTTTTTCCTAGTTCGCACGGTGGCTGCGCGCCGTCATACGACGTACTTTCTCGTATATTTCCTCTCCTCGCCGCGCTTTGCTCCCCGTCGTTCCTTGTTCAACCTCTCTAATAAGGTCTCTCAATTCAGTATTTTCCAGCTCCTTCGGTTTTTCTCACTGGCGATCCCCTGCGCAGCACTAGCTTCATTTTTGACGGAATAACGCTCCCTAGTTAAAGGCACATTTCCCTATGAAAAGGTAGCTCACCGGGAATAAGGGTAGAGGGAGTCAGTGGAGCACGGATGAAGAAAAAACCATGTAAAACTGGCCAAAATGCCAGAAATGGCAAAATGGGAACTCCTTCCTTGCCCTTTGATTTCCACATTGATGTGACCCCCATCCTTGTGCCATCTTCAACACTACGCTCATCCGTAGCTTCACATATGGGTGGCGATAAATTACGTACGCCATAACGTCCTAACTTCAATCTTCGTCCATAAAAATCCGAAGGAAATCAATTTCATGAAACAGCAAACTCTCCCCCCCCATTCATAATTAATAAAAAAGTGTCGAAGTGGCTCGCTGTCAGTTTTTGAGATCTGATTAGTTACGACATCGAGTTGGTGGGTACTCTCGGTTTGTCGAAAAGATCTCCCATTTAAGCAACTGAAAACCCCTAAATCACCATCATCTTTTTTGCTCAACTCTTGGAAACAGTTGTTATTGGAAAATACCTGCAAGAATTCCGTTCGCTGAGAGTTTGATGATTTGGAGCAGTATCACTGCTTTGGGCAACCCTCCATTGATTTTTATCGATAAAATCATGGAAATCATTGCAAAGATGTATCATGAAAATTTTTAACCTAAGCCTAAACTTATGGAGAAGTCTTCAAGATAGCTCTGGTGATCTGGAGGCAGACTATGGACAAGAAATAAAGTCAGGATATTTTTCTCTGGGCGCAATAATTTTTCACCGCCCTGTTTTTTCTTGTCCTATTCCAATACTCAAATCGTGGCGATTTTCTTCTGTTGAATAGTCCTCTGTCAAATTGGAATTATCAACCATTTATAATTTCATTACTCTTTAGTGTAACACAAGAAACCTACGATGAAACCCTTGGTTCTATTCGCGATGCTGTCAAACAGCGTACTCTGCGTCGACATTGTGGAAGGAACTCTTCGAAATGTCCTTATGTCTATACGAGGAATTGGTGAACGGGTGCGATTTTTTTCGGTTAAAGATGCTTTCGATTCACCTGCCATTTGCGCAAGTTTTGTATACTACCTTTTTCATTCAAATTTTCCATGATGTAAGGTAGAAGAGCTCTTATTTCATAGTACGGGGCTGGTCCGAAGAGAAAGGTAGAATTGTGAATGGCTTGCGGATTGCTCGGACTCTAGGTAATGTCATCAACAAAGACTATTGTCAACTTTTTGGGTAGGGGTTGGCTAGCACACACGTCTCCCGGTTACAATTTTGGTGATGACAAGTTGCATGAAATTTCTTTTTTTTTTTGAAGGTTCTTTCTAACATTGCAATCCCCACTTCCAAGGATCTGGTAAATAGCCCCGTGTTAGGGTTTCAAGTGGACGATAAATCTGCGTACGCTCTAAAATCAATGACGGAGGTAAGCTTCTGCATTTATGTATTTCAGGTGCATGTTTTGAACATAACCCCTGTAGATTTCAGTTTTTGAATACCTGTCCTCCTGCACTTCCTCCACCGCCATTAACTGGGACGTGGATTGTGACGTATGCAAGTAAAAAGTGGCTACAAACAACGATGGCCGACCTTGACGAAGTATTTGAGTTTTGCAACTATCTAGCAATTTCCGTCGAATATGAGCGGTTGTCAACAATCGCGCAGCCTCAGTAACGGTTTCAACTTTTTGTGGTATTCTGAAGGGACACCTATGTCAATCGAACGAGTCTGGAACGACTATGTACAACTTCATTTTAACTATGAACATCATACCTTTGAAGAAGTTGTGCCGTCAAAGTTAGCCAAGGACGTTATATTAGGCGTGTGAGTCTCCATGAAGCTAAGTGAACGTGGCGCACTGGGGAGTTTTTTCCTAGGCCAGCTGCTACAAATTTGCTCTCCACTGATGCACGATTTTTCGCAGTTAGTTCCAACCAGGGTGAAAATCGTGTCGAGGAAATAACCGCCTCTTTACGACCCCCCTCCAAAACATGGACTCTGATACGACCCCTTTTTGTCCTCTGCACATCCGGTTTCATATCAAAAAATGCTAGTTTCAGATGTGCGAGAGGGACGCAGCGCCGCTGCCACGCAAATGCGGCTTGATCCAAATGCTAGATTCAATTCTGCTCAGATTAGGCTTCTCCTTTAAAGACATTTAACCTTTGCCACATTGGCCGGAAAGTAGAACATTGAAGGAGGTACTGCCCCTACACAGTTGAACAGTCTCGCGCTCCAGTATAGCGGCGCTAACTACCCGCGATCGCGTCGCGCGCTGTGCCTAGAGCGCGCTAGTTGGAAAAATCGTCAAATGTACCCCCTATTTAAAGGACTATAACTTTCTTCATTGATAACCATTTCAGAAAGTGAAGGCAGCTTTTGAATGCACAAGACTTCTAGTTTCTAAATTGTGCTGAGCGTTTTTCTAAGCACGCCTATTCTCGAGAGTGGGAGACGTCGAGGAAATTGTCGAGGAAATTGAAATTTACATGCGAGTTCCCACTCTTTGGAAGACAGTAGCTGTCTTCATTGGCAATGCTTTGAAAATCGGAGGAAAGCGTTGTAAAGTAGAAGATTTACGCTTTCTGATAGGTGCTCCAGTTGTTTCGAACGCTTTCTAGTTCGCGAGAAATCTGCGTCGAGGAAATGTCAAGGAAATTTTCGAAGCCACTCGAAAACTCTATTACTCCCTCGCCGTAGTAGGGAACTTCTTTGAACACCTTCAAAATACTTCTGTACACGTCAGTTCGATGGAGTAAATTGAAAATGATGCACTTGGCGCAGGATCCATTCCGTTCTTGTATGCGCCATGCAGTGACCCCACTCGGAGTCATTGGGAAGGTGTTTTGTCCTAGTGACGACTTGCTTAAGCACACCAAAAGATATTTCCAGTATTAACTAATTAGGATAACTCTTGTGGTCATAGTGATGTCTGATCATTCCTTTATTCAAATCGCTTCCTTTCCAACCCGTTCTGATGAATGACACTTGCGGTTGCAGGATCTGATGATGCCAAGAAGAAGGCTGCGAATCTGCCTGTTTTGAACTTTCTACAAGATGCTGTTCCTCCACTAAGTTCTCGAAGCATGTACATCATTCTAGAGTAGATACTCGCTGCCCTTTCCCTACGATTCTTTTGCAGGACGCGTTGCCTTCCTATGCCATACTGATCACTACGAACCAAACCAACACACTTTCCATTTGAATTTTAATTCCAGACAGTGTAAGATATTATTTGCATTAGGCTAACTACAACACTTGTGAAACTAATGATGACAGCAAATAAGTGGCAGCAGCACCGTTGTGTCCGTTGATGAACCTTTTGATTACGACCCCCTCCCAACTCTCATCGGAGCAAATACGACCCCCTGTCGAGGATTTCCTCGACCGTTATTCACCCTGGTTCCAACAGAGTATTTTGTCATGGGAGGAAGTCAAAAGGTGTTCAAACGGTACCGCGGTCGTGGCCTCGATTTACAATGACACCTGATTTATAACCATTTTATAGGAATTTATTGAAAAAAATTTGTATAGTGAAGCTAACGCAATGTGTTACTCGCCAAACCGAATTTCATAATCGTTATCACGGCACCTCCTCATCGGTCATCGTTGCAACCAGAACAGGAAGAAGTGATATTTCTGTCAACACCTCTTTGACAGAAACAGAACTTGCTGCCTCAACGCTGCTGCTTATGTGTTCTGGTTTATTGGGTTAGGTGTTCACCAGAGTAGGCATCATGTGAGAGCACCTTTTGATGTGACAACAAAGAGCTTACCTCTGAGCCGCCATTGGCATTCATAAGTATAAGTATAAGTTTATTATGTCCATAAGGCTCACGTGATAAAACACAACAGTAACAGTGTAAATTTTCAAACAAAACAGCAATAATGACAACATTATTCATGACTTAGCAATGATCAATAGATGCTGAGTTGAGCAATGGAAGGCTGAACTATTCTTCAAATCCCACCTTAAAGGATTGAAATTCCAAAAGTTATCTTTACACGTAATGATTGTTAAATACATGGTGGCGAAAAATTACGTGCGCGTGACATTTGCTTCGTGTAAAACTTTATATGTGGCATTTATGTATGCTTCCTCCTTTCATCCTGTTTGCCAATAGCTAGTTGTTGGTTTGCAAAAGAAGATATCTAATTTCCAAGTTCTGAAAAAGATGCACAAGTTGGAACGCGATTGTGCGGCAACCAAACAGCTGGGCTGAGAGCTGAACGATATCACACTTTTTCTACGAACCGTCCAAAAAAACTGAAAAGCATTAGAAAGAGGAAGACCATCTCTAATCTGAACCCGCAAGAGAATGAGAACGGATTACCAACACCCGAGGAGAATTACTTAAGAAGAGGAATGACCAAAAAGATGACCTGAGCTTGAATAAGAGGGCCGAACAGAACCAAGCCTTCCGAGAATTTGTTCAGATGACAGCAAAAATAAAGTGCGGAATGGACTCATCGTATATCAACGGGCAGTTTCCCACCGTTCCAAGCAAAGCAAGATCGGAAGGAAAAATATAAGAAGTTGCGGGATTTTTTTTCAAGGTGCGGCTGTCCTAGGACGCCTTGTGACTTCACAAATGAAAGTTTAGCGTTGGAGTGCCTTCAAACTCCCACAATCACCTGTAATCTTTACATTAGCTTTCAGCAACATTCTTAAATGGAAAGAACCCACAAGAATCACGTTCCATAAAAAATGACGGGTGTACAGATGTAAACCTTTCCGGAATAGTTTCGAGTCAGAAGCGCTCTCTTTGATATTTTCGTGTGTGTTTTGGGAATTCAATTTGCCCAAGTGATTGTCTCTCCCTCCTCAGTTTTGCTACTTCTGCTCTGTGATGCATCATGTACCCCTTTGCGCTTGGAGGTGCGGATCGGGATCGGGCCAAACCAACCCTTTACATCAGTTCTGTTGGTGTGTGTGAAGCCAAGCTCGTGATTCTGTCACGCGCGGTAAAAAAAACCGCCTCTACTTAGCGTTCTGAGCTATCGCCGCCTGGCATTGCGCGGCAGAGGCGCGCTAGAGGTGTACGTGGCACAGCATGACGTCTTTGCGAGGTACATAGCACTTTACTCATATTCTATCGTTTTTTAAGCGCGGTTCATTGGTAGCAGTGAGAGTAACTAACAAACTCTTCTGGACACTCGTGCACAAGCGAGGCGCCTTTGTTGCTGATGGCAAGGAGAGAAGTTCATTTCTGGTTCTGCTAATGGTTTCCTTTCGTTTTTCTTCTCTGGTGTTACACACATTTTTCTGTCACGCTCAGGCGCCGCAGCATCCCAACTCGATCTAGACCATTTCCTCAAGGAAATTTGAAAGCATTAGAACACACCCCTTACCTGCGGTCCAAGCAGCGAGCCGCTCTGATCCTAATCGAGTAAGGCAGCTAGGCTAGAGCTTAGCCTTCATCTTTCTGAGGTTTCTTCATATCGCTTAGATTTAGTGAGTTTCATAGAGTTTGAACCATCCCCTGCGCAACTACAGCCCTGAACATCTCCACGCACGGCAACGCTGTCCCCAGCGCGTTCTACGCCGCCTTTCGTCGGCCAAGTAAAACCCGCTTTGAGGATTTGACGGTGATCATGATACCAGTGCTCACATTTTTTGTGTGGAAACATCACGTACAAAGTATAAGTTGGTCTAATTAGAAAGCAATCTTTAGCTCTCAAATTCATCTCTCAAATTCATTGTCATCTAAGAGTATCGAATGAAATTGATGAATACTGTTCTTGAATTAAGGTTATTGATCTTCTCGCATCTAATCAGAATGTGCCAGGGACCAAACCACTGAGTTCTATATTCCGTACAGCTGTGCCTGTTTCCTGTCTGAAACTGGAATGTACGTTTCCACTTTTTACACATTTACTACTCATTACGCTTTGAATTAACACGTTGACGACATCGCGCGTTTTGGGTTTTTGCACCGCGTGGGACAAGGGCGCTTTTGCGAGCGCGGCCGTCACACCTCACACCCGTAAATTTCGAACGATAACCTTGGGAAGCTTCAAAGGTACGAAACCATTTCAGCAATATTCAATGCGTAGAAAGTAATCGAAGATATAGTAGCGAAATTCCGATCAAAAAACGTGAAATGGTAAAGAAAATTGGAATTTAAGTCCTTTTCTCTGTAGTGGATGCCAAAACTATTTTCGATGTGGATGTGTCAAGTGAAACATATATCTTTCTATCCCTTTAGGTTTGTATTTACTTTCACTACCCTTTTCACTGACATGTTCATCAGAATAGGAAGCGGATGAACCGAGCCAAACTTCTGCTAAACTGGTGCATATTTGTCATACCGTGACCGTGTCGTTTACAGTTATGTTATGTTGTAATCCATAGAATAGAGGCAAGCAAATTGGGAAGAATCCCGCATACGCTAGAAAAAGGGATGACAAGGGTGAGACGCGCAACCGCGTCTCAATGTCCAACGAGGTGCGCAAAGTGAGACGCGTTACCGCGTCTCAATGTCGTCAATGTGTTAACAGTAAATGTAACGCAGAAGTCAGGCGTTATCTTTGAATGTCTTGCTGCTGTTTCAGAGGATCACATGGTTGAAGTTGGCTTCTTTATGAACGACTCCAGGAATGGCAGAAAGAGTAATGAATATCGAGAACTTTTTATTAGGCATACGTTTCGCCCTCTTCGCCTTCGTCAGAGCCTGAAAAGTCGAAAAGCAATTGAGACCGATCCTTTCATGAGCCAAACAATCCTGAAGACAATTTCTCCAGACTACTAAACCAACAGGCGGTATCGATTGAACCAAGAGGGCTACAAGGCTTACCTAGATCTTTGTCGCCAAGGCGCAAGATCGACCACCCAAGAAGCAGACTTTTGCGTGGAATGAGCGAACCTATCTCTCCTCCCTGACCTCACCGAAACTCAAAACCTACAGAGGTCGAGGAAGGGCGCCAGGTCACGGGTTACGGCTACACATTCTTCTTTCCTATTGATTTTGGGGTCCCTAGCAGCAATCCAAAACGCCTCCAGCGTTTTCCGCGCGGTGGTCTCCTCTTCTAGAGCCAAGATGGTAACCGACACCGTGAATGCAACATCCCCATGGAACTGAACCCGATGCATTCCCAATGGGGTTTGAGTGCGTGACTTTTTGAGCCCCTCCATGTGTTCCTTGATGCGTGTGCGAAGAGGGCGCCCCGTCTCACCTATGTATTCGTTGCCGCAGACTTGGCAGCGGATCAGATAGATCACTCCTGCCTTCATGCAGTCACCGCTCCTGTTTGAAAGGCAGATGACGCAGTCTGGGGTGTCGCAGAACTTGTCGTACAGACGACTGTGAACGAGTTGTCGGTTTCCTGGTAGGTGTGACCTAAAGGGTGATGTAGGGATTGGAAATACCCCCAGGAAACCTCAAGCGACGACTCAATCAGTCGTCGCAATCGTCTGTACAATTTTGAGTGCCGGTGAGGTCAGGGAGGGAAGATAGGTTTTTTCATTCCACGCAAAAGTCTGCTTCTTGGGTGGTCGATCTTGCGCCTTGGCGACAAAGATCTAGGTAAGCCTTGTAGCCCTCTTGGTTCAATCGATACCGCCTGTTGGTTTAGTAGTCTGGAGAAATTGTCTTCAGGATTGTTTGGCTCATGAAAGGATCGGTCTCAATTGCTTTTCGACTTTTCAGGCTCTGACGAAGGCGAAGAGGCCGAAACGTAAGCCTAATAAAAAGTGCTGAAATCTTGGTCAGGCTACAGCAAAACTATTCGCATCAACTTCCATGCCAAGATCAGGAGAAAGTCGTTCTTGGAATATATTCTTGGAATATGGAATTTTCAAGAAAAGGAATCGTTTCCGGAGAGTGCCTTCCCAGCATGAACATGTCAGTTGCGATTGCTGGGGCAACGTACAAAGTTTTACGCAAAAAATCAGTTTATTAAAGGAAGCCTATTCACGAAAACCACTCTCAATAGAACATTGAGGGTGGGCCAGTCGTAAAAAGGCAACGCATATAAGGGTGCGCCTTAGGGCAGCCATGCTTTAGGTGACTCATTGACGGGATCAGGTTACAGTGTTCAAATTCAGCGACAGAGGCAAAACGTCTGACAGTACTGGAGTAGAACAGAATGTTATAGCCGTGAATGAAGAAGGCTCAAAAAGTTCTTGTTATAGGGACTCCGAGAACCAAGTTGAGTTATTTCCATCGTCAACATTTGTGGCAGACTAACGGCAGTATTTTGGACGCGTAACAGTTCTTTGAGTTTTTCGAAAAGTTTACGAAAACGAACGAAAGCGCAGTGACTTAGCTCCGACGATGTTGAGATTCTTTCTGCCAGAATTCAGGCCGTGCTTTTCCGAATTTTTACCGAAATACTGGAGGAGTCGTGCACTTTGAATTCCTCCCTGTTAATGCTACAGCAAATGCTGAAATTAGATTTCAAAAGGGTGATCACAGCGGTTCCAAATTAAAAAAAATTCAAGACAATGTGTATTTTTTGCGATCGTACCCCTGGTCTCGGTTCTCATAAAAAGCCAACGGATAAGCTTTTGTTCTGCTCCACAGCTCAGTTTCTTGGGAAGAACCTTTACGCCAACCAACCTGATGTCAAAAATGACATTCAATCTTTTTTTCGACCAGAAGTCCTTGGTATTGCACAAGAGGAAGTTGAGCCGCTACCCACCCATTGAGTTGTGGGTTAAGGTGATGCGTAAGCCTATACACACGTTTTCAGCGGATTTGGTGGAAACAGCCGTGGCGCCAAATTGGCGCCAAACGGCGCCAAATGGCGCCAGCGCTAAAAACGGGTGTCGTTTTCGTAATCAGGACCCCAAATAACCCCAAATGACGAAGTTTCAGCAGATTTGGTGAAAACAGCCGTGGCGCCAAATTGGCGCCAAATGCGCCAACATCAAAAATGAATGTCATATTCGTAATCAGGGCATCGAATTACCCCAATAGACAAAGTTTCGACGAAAAATGAAACTTTGAGATTTTGGGGCAGTAATCGTGGGATATGCCCAATCCGGCAATAGGGGAAGGCTGAAAACGGTGAAAAACCAAAGTTTCAACTGGGGAAGTAATGCATATCATTCGATAGCATTTTTCACGGGGAAGCTAACGGGGCACATTTCAGGTCTGCGAGTTCATCTGGAAATGCAAAAAATCTGAACTTTCCACAAGGGCATGACGAGGAGGCATGTTTGGGGCCACACCACGGAAGGAACGCTCACTTGCGACCGAGTTTTCCACATACACAGACAAGTGACCATAGTCTACGACAGTGAAGGAAATTCTTCGCTTCCTTTACAGCTTTCTACAAAACATTCCTCTAAAAATGGGACTTGTCACGTAATAGGGGGCAAAGGCATGACAAGGGGTGATGTTTGGGGTCACACCACGGAAGAAACGCTCACCTGCGACCAAGGTTTCCATATAATCCTTACAGACAAGTGACCGTAGTCTACGACAGTGAAGGAAATTGTTCGCTATCTTCACAGCTTTCTGCAAAACATCTCCTCTGAAAATGGAAAATGTCACATAATAGGCCCACTATGCCTGCTGAGAACTGTTCAAAGATTCCACTTGATATACAGAGGATGGGATATTGAGAGCAGAGGGAACACGTAAAGCCAGTAAGCGCTTAAAAACGAAGATATCTTCGGATTCTCGAAAGCTCAATTTTGAACCGAGTTATAACGAATTCACGAAATTAACGAGGATTCGCGTTATTCGCGTGAATTTTCGATTTCAAACGGCGAGTACTGTATGTGTGTATGTGTGTACGTTTGTTTGTCACGAAAATCATAACGCGCTTCGCGCTACAGTGGAACGCTATATCCTAATCCTATGCATGCTGCAGGGAGTGGGACGGAAGTATATACACTGAGGGACAGAAACTGATAACGGCCGATAAGATCCATTAGAGGCGCCCCAGCATCAGTGAGGCGTCCAAGAGGTGACGTAAAGGATAGGAAAGGAACGTCTTTGGAGTTGATTCGAAGTGATAACGGCTGAAATAGCCGATAATAACGAGAATATAGAGGTCACTCAAAAACATAATCCTACTATATATAATCGGCTAAGCGGTTGTGTGTGTGTCTGACCGGAAATTCATAACTTCACCCCTTTGGACCCAGAGCGCTCAAACTTCTAGGATATATAGGGGGCCGAAGGTGAACTGATAACGGACGTCGAAATGTTGATGTCACCAATTTCGTTGCACCGTTCGCGTTGACAGTGGAGAGTTTGCACTCATGTATGATATGTGGGGTGAGGCGGGGACCAAGAAGTTGAGTGAACGAATGTGGTAGCAACTGATAAGAACTGATAAGGGGCGTCAAAGTGTGGATACCACCAGTTTCGTTGCGGCCCTTGCGGTTACATTGGAACCTTGGCTCTCACATGTGGTATAGGGGGATGGGACGGGAACACGGATAGCGGATGATCAGAAAGTGATAACAAGCGATAACGGATTGATAAGGAAGTTAGGATTTTGAGTACTGCTAATTTCGTTGCAGCCTTCGTGGTGACAGTAAATATTAGCTCCTACACGTTGCCTGGAGGTTGGGACCGGGACACCGATTGCGAACAGTATGAACTGATAACAAATGACAAGGAATGATAAGAGCGTTTGAATGCAGGTCTCTACAACTTCGTTGCAATTATCACTGGCAAGCGATCAAGGTGGCGAGGGTTGAATGTAGGTGACAGAAAGTGGTATGAGCGGCAACTGTACTGATAAAAGTAGCGACAGTTGAGCGTGCACTCAATTGAACTAAACCAGGTCCCTAGCACGTGAATATGTTATGTGTTCCATTCCTATCCTTTCATCTAAAGAAGCAAAGAAAGTTGAGCTGCTCAACTATCTGGGCTTGGACCAATAGCGAATTTCCATCATATTTGCAATCTCCATCATGGTTAGATGCTGATTGATTGGTTATATTTCACTTACACACCGGTTCTTCAATTGTGGAAATTCTATAAACCGCTAAATCACCCGAGCTCGATTATATGATGCTAAAATGTTCACGAAGTCATGATAAGTGTAATGTTCCATTCCGCATTCCGCTACTGCTGCCGCATTACGCTACAATCTTCAGCAAAATTGGACGGCCTTTGAAATTCATGTGACACATCTTCCAAACATCTTACTGTTAGTTTCTCAGCCACGTGACCTAATATTCAGCAAGTTGTCCAGTTTCACTAAAGCCTACCATGTGATGCGCGCGGTTGCGTGCGGAGCTAAACTGGTTTAGATTAACCGTTTCATTTCGATATCCTTTCAATTGTGTTGTTACCATCAGCCCGAAATACAGCTTCCGCTACGCTCCCCAGATTCCTAAAAATGTATGGTGGATGTTCAAAAATACGATAACGAGTGCTGGATGTTTCTATTTCAACATCACACACAATCCGACCGCTAAATTACACTGACATTCGATGCATGGTGGTTGTTTACAGACACCACTTTAGCTCCGCACTCCACTGCGCGTATCAAACGGTGAGCTTCTGCAAAGATGGGCAGCCTATGGAACGGTCAGCTAACGCATTTTACGAAGCAACTCTAATGTTTAGCGGTGAACCTAAAGCTTGGTCGGCTGTCTGTTCCACCTAGGCGTTCCGTTTCATGCGCGCGCTAGCATGCGGAGATAAACTAGTTCTTCATACCGGTGTAGCGTGGAAGTACTCCTGAGGTGCCTCCAGAATTTAGTCTGCAAATTTAAGGAATGGTCTTGAAACAGGTGATTGAGAATCTTTGTCTTGGGGCCTGAGCGTGGAGGCGCTCCACGGTGGGGGTGACCTAATACAGTAATTGGATAGGATGTGAGGAGGAGATGAAGGGCATCTACCCGTCATCGCACAGGCATCTATAAAAGTGCACTTCGAATGAGTCGTTTACATATAATTTATCCTTAGCGTTAGCCCAAAAGGGTGCTCTCAGGACAAAGGATAAGATTGTAGGGAGCGCCCTCTCACGTCCGGGCTGAATTTCACATGATAACTATGCTCATGGGAAACCTACATCTATCAAAGCAATCTGTTGGAAGAGTTTGAATTTTGTAACGAAAATTTCAGTTGCAACACAAAGCAACGATGTGAGGTCATCATTCGAAATTTCGTACTTGAAAAACAGCAAGAAGTCTTCACCTAATTGGACAGCTAGCGAGGATTCCGGACAAATCACTGCATATGATATTCCTCCCTTCCTTGAGTACTTACAGTAGGTTTACTTTTTACGTAGTAAAAGATCCCACGGCGAATCAAGCGGAATCAAATTGAGTTTACAAATAGCACTCATCCTCACCTCCCGATACCCAGCTAATTACCCTCTCGAACTACGAACCACTTCATCATCAATTTTCTGCTGTTCGAAGGGCCGCTCAGGAAAAATAATAGTGTTTAAAACAGAAATGTATTGTGTGCACGTATCCCTACATCATCGGAGCCGTTTCGAGAAAGCTGAGCATTTCTTGAAAGATCTCCCTCGTAAGTGCTTGTGAATTGGTTACCAATCAGTGCCACACATAACACAATGAAAATGCTCGGATAATGGGATTGAGCATCTTTTTATCGTTTTGGTTTTCTCGCTGAATGATGAGATGACATGACATGTCCAACAGCGATACATGTGTTCCTTTCAAGGTCAGTCGAGGCCAAATATTTTAATTTCCATTTTTGAGGGGAAAATTTCCGACTTTTCGTTACATTCCCATATTCTGAGATCGAGAAGAGATAGGTAATTCATGCAGTGCGCGTCAATTGTGTATGCCACCCCCTGATTTTTTCAGTTTTCTGACTTATTTGGAAATTTCGTAAATCGGCATAGCAACCATCGTTTTCGGCGTGTCGGAAAACTAAGAATGGTGTTGTTTGATTTTGGTTAACGCGTGGATTTGAATTGCTCTGTTCTTTTGAAGAAAATGGGCCGCGTCAATTGCTTATGCCATCCTAAAGTTTCTTCAGAATTTCTCATGTCTCTAACGCTATTCAGCTACGGTGTGCATGTAGTACAAATGAGGAAATCCTCCACTTATGCAATGCACACAAATGGTGGAGCATTTATAACTAATTAGTTCGGAATATTAGCCCTAATACTGGTAGCAGCATGAAAACGCTTTATCAGAGAAAGTGCTGTGTGCTCACTTTGCGATCGCTCCTGCTGCTTATTGTAGAACTCATCGAGGAGTGTATCCAGGCAAAACTGGGGAAATTGAAGTGCTCAAGGAGCTCCTTAAATTCTCATTTTCCCGCTTCGAATCCGTGGTCAACTTTATTTGTGGTCTTGGCTCCCTGCGAAGCTCGAAGCGTTCACGCTCACAAAGTCTCTTTTTAGAGAGAACATGACTCGTACCTACTACCCGTCTGGTACCCATCACTGAACTCGATCGAAGTTTTCTTATCAAGGCGATGCAATGATGGCCCATGCCACCACTTCGGTGTCCCGTTCAAGTTACAACTGGCCCATGTCATCATTTTCGCTCGCTCGGTACGAAAATTTTTCCAGAGAGAATCCGACAAAGTTCGGCGATGGGTACTACGCGGATTGTGAGTGCAACTCATATTCTCTCTGAACAGAGACTTTGTGAGCGTGAACGCTTCGAGCTTCGCAGGGAGCCGAGACCACAAATAAAGTTGACCACGGATTCGAAGCGGGAAAATGAGAATTTAAGAGCTCCTTGAGCACTTCAATTTCCCCAGTTTTGCCTGGATACACTCCTCGATGAGTTCTACAATAAGCAGCAGGAGCGATCGCAAGAGTGAGCACACAGCACTTTCTCTGATAAAGCGTTTTCATGCTGCTACCGTCCAGTATAAGGGCTAATATTCCGAACTAATTAGTTATAAATGCTCCACCATTTGTGTGCATTGCATAAGTGGAGGATTTCCTCATTTGTATTACATGCACACCGTAGCTGAATAGCGTTAGAGACATGAGAAATTCTGAAGAAACTTTAGGATGGCATAAGCAATTGACGCGGCCCATTTTCTTCAAAAGAACAGAGCAATTCAAATCCACGCGTTAACCAAAATCAAACAACACCATTCTTAGTTTTCCGACACGCCGAAAACGATGGTTGCTATGCCGATTTACGAAATTTCCAAATAAGTCAGAAAACTGAAAAAATCAGGGGGTGGCATATACAATTGACGCGCACTGTATTGTCCCTATAATATATCATATTGTTCCGAAGGATTCTCGAAAGGGGACAAAGTATTGACGCAGTCGCAGCGCACGCTCTAGCTCAAAAAATGTCGCTCTGTGCACGGAACAAGTAGTGATATGCGTCTGATGCTAACGCAACCCATAGTATTTCTCTCTGGAAGAGGAAAGCAACTGACCTCTTATGTTCTCAACGAATCCGTAAAAGATAAATTATGAAGCATTTGGCGCTATTCAAAACCTTTTTCGGATGCTCACCCAGTCTACTGTTAGCCTTATATCATTTGTACGTAATTCGGTCTACTTAATGAGCTGAGGGATCAGCCGATGAACAATTCTAGCGTTTTCGTCCCGAACGCTAGAAGAAGAAATGCTTCTTTGAAGTGTTGTATCTCGATCATGCGTGTGCTAAGCGACTACACTTGTGCATTTCATTGCTTCATCCTACCTATTCGATAATAAATCATTTTGTGCAGAACTCGCTTCGGTCAACATTCGTCCGAACGGTTCCGTTAAATGAAAACTCCACTGTTTTTAGTTGAAAGACACAGTAGTTGTTGTTTCAGTGGATACGTGAAACTTTCAGTGATCGTCGTATACACTACTGCAACCGTTGACGCAACTCCGTTGGATGTAATGGTGCTTAGCGAGACAAGCGCTTTCCCAAAATGCGACAATTTTTTGGTCCTGCAACGATCGCAGCAGTCATCTCGGATCTATCAAATTGTTACAGCTATGGGAGCAAATTTCCCGTCCAATCCGCTTCAAGAGATCCAGTGTGAGATGAGCGGTGACGAGAAGGTAGCGATTAGGCCAGAGTAAATCCTTTATTCAATGTTCAAATTGTATGCTTCTGCTTACATATCATATCTCGCATGTATTTCTGATCGTCTTTGGTTTTTTATTGATTTGTGTTAGCATACGCTACATCACACAACCTATTTATTATAACGTATTATCTGTGAGCATAATAGCGAGATGACGATCTCTGGTGTTTATGTCGCTCGGCAATTGCTAAGAAATCCACTGTAGCGGTTGTGTGAAAGTACTTCAGCATCTTATATGTCGCTAGAAGTAGAACCACGAGAAGTGCAAAGCCAATTGCCAGTACAACTAAAAATGTTGATAAATTTTTGGATTTTTTCATAGATGTGCGCGATATTCTATAGAAAGGCCACGAAGACGCGAAAATTCCAGCGTGCCTAGGTTTTGGTTTCGAGAATCCAGTATGCAAAAATTATGAACTAACCCTTTTTGGATATAGCTGTGAGGAGAATAGAGCTGTGGGCACAGTCGAACGTAATTCCATAGCATCTCTTGTCATCGTCACAATAAGAGTTCCGAGTTAGATATTCGAATGCGCAGTGATTCTGAAAAGTGGAATTCCATCATGTACAATACGAAGTGGTGGGTCATTTGAAATCAAAATGCACCATTCCGTAGGCTTTGTTTATGCTTGCTGTTCGGCTGACTGCTACTAAGGATAAGCTAATTTACCCAGTCCTGCATCAGCTCGATAAGTGTATACGTAACGGCCACAAATCACAGTGACGGGAGCGTACCACATACAGTTTAAAAATTAACGGATGAGAACCACATCACTTTATGCAGAAAAGCATTGCGAAGGTGACCATGGAATAGCTCCCGAAGTTGGCTACAGCAGTGCGGGAAACGTCTCAAAATCTCCTTTCTCCGAAGGACCGCCCGAAATCACATTGCAAAGATAACTCGCCACGTTTCGAGGGAAACTGGCTGGACCACGACACCACATCTGTCGTATAGCCCTGACATTGCTCCATCGTACTATCACCTCCTCAGCTCCCTGAAGCAGCAGCTAGGAGAGAAAAAGTCAGTAAATAACCACCCCAAAAACGACCTCTTCATTCCACAGCTCCATTCATTCTGGGAGGAATGCATCCATTCGTTCCCTAGCAAGTGGATGCTTATCAGTGATTATGATGGTGGTTACTTTTTTGATCAATCGTTTTTAAGGAAAGAAAACTTGAAGAAATCAAAGTGTTGAAATTCGGCCAGAAATTATGGCTCAACCCAATAGAACGGACATCAGCGACTACGAAGATGCTGTTGCTGATCATTACTGTCGTTCCCAAATGAAAATGGGTGATGGAATTCTGCAACAGATTAGCTGAGCACTGCTCAGCCTTACCATATCAGTATTTTGGATTAGACCGCATGAGGCTTTGATCTGTCCTATGGAAAAAACCGGGGAAACCACTGTGAACCGGGTCTTCACTAGTGGCAAGCAGTAAAATATCTGGGCTGACCTCAGATGCGTTAAGAAGACCTCGCAAACCACTTGAATGTCACCAACCTAGATGGCTCACATCGTGCAGGCGCCTTAAAGGCACGCTCCACGATTAGGCGCGCTTGCCTGTTCCATCCCGGGGTAGTAGGCAGGCGGACAAGTGTTGATGTCGCGCCCCTTTTGCCGCTTGAAAGTGCGCGACAAAGGCGCAAGGAGCTCGTCCGACCCGCAACTCACACCTTCGTCCGCAAGCCCCACCCTCCGCTGTCGGTTGCCACGTGGCGCTGCTTGAAAAGCGCGGGCGCATTTGAGGCAGCGGTCCCATCGCGATCCAATGTCATTGGCACTGGAGCAACTAGAGTTAGGTTCGTGAAACTCGTCCAACGCGCCTCTTCTCTATCCCAAGGTGGAATGTGGCTGAAATAGGGGAGGTCTCTGTACGGGGCGTAATCGGTGGTTTCGTTTGCTTTCCTTCTCTTTTACAGACCACCTCCCACCTCTAGCTTCATAACTGAACGCTTTTCCACACCTATTTTATCCCGAATCTTGCCTTTAAAGGTGATGCGGTTTCACTGAGCATGCCCACAGCATTGCAGAGGAGTTGATAGAAAGCAGCCATTCCCGCACTTTCCACTCCTTCCTGCCCCACTCCTCGAAAAGTTAGTCATATTTTTGTCCTATTTTGTCCAAGACTATATAGTATTTCGCTAGAAAGCTCCCCTGAGGGTGATTTGACTCGAATATTAGATTAGTCAAGCGCGAAAATGCCTAACAAATTGTATCACTGAATTCGCGGAAAATTATCGTCAGGGGTTGCTTGACTCCTAGAGCATGAATGTCACGTCCGTTTATTGCGATTAAGCTTGTAGCCTACATCACGGAGTTGGCGCAAAGCTGGTATACGGTATACCTTACGACAGCATGGCGTTCCTGAAGAGCTTATTGAGTGGGTGCGCATCCTTACTCGAGTCCAAAGAGCCGAGTGCAAACGGCAGCAGGACATCGATGGATTTTCCCATCTCTGTCGGGGTACACCAAGGCTCTGCGTTATCCCCACTCCTATTTGTTGTCGTCATGGATGCCATTACGAGAGATCTCCAGAAGCCGGCTCCATGGACGCTTCTTTATGCTGATGACGTGATGCTCGCTAGCGAAGATAAAAGCACGCTCGAGCAACAGGTGCAAACCTGGTCCGACCGTCTGGCTATGTTCGGGCTCAGGTTGAACGTCAAAGAGACCGAGTACTTGACCACCGATTTGAGTAAACACGGTTCAACTGAAATCAGTGGTACTAGTATCTTGGCAATCACGGCTGATGGCAGTCTGAGTTTTGGAGTGAATTCTCGCGTGAGGGCATCTAGATCGAAATGGCGCTGGAGGGGCGTATCGGTCTCAACCTTGGTGTGTCCAGAAAGCCACGCGGGGAGACGCCCGAAACAGCGCTGGCTCGATACGTTGCGAGACTTGAAGTCGGTTAACATCCACCCCGATCAAGCATTTAATCGGGAAAAGTGGCGTCAGCACATCAGAAAAGCGGACCCCGCCAACAAGCGGGACAACGCTGAAGAATAAGGAGAAGGTCAGATAAGAGTCTAAGTTCCCAAACTTTCAAATCTTCTCAAACTGTACCACTACAACGCAAACACTGGCAGAAATTTAAAGCGATGTTGTGCACTAGCCTTATCGTTAGAGGTATTGAAGAAAATTAGGGGAACCAATGTACAGGAGCTGTCGAATGTTTGAAAAGTTTTTTACCTCGTTGTGCCCGTATGTGCACCATGTTCTCAGAACGAAACCTTGGCCTGTCGTCGGGCCGGAAGGCTATTGTATTTTCGGTAGAATGGGATGTGCCCTTCAATTTCCAGTTGGTACCAATCTGTTTGAATATGCAATATCAAAGTGTAATTAGTTCCGATTTGAATGTGGGAAGGACCGACTTTTTTTGCACCCGCACCTATTGTAGTGAAGGCATCGTCTCAAAATTCCAAAAATGACGTTCTTATTGATTCATTATCAATAAGAAATAACGCCATAAGTCGTACAGCTAGTTACATACAAATTGCTGATTCCTCATTTGAAGCTACTGTGCTGAATTTGCATTGAAATGTGAAGCTTCAAAACTTTTGAGGCGCCATTTTTATTAATCGTATCCTCCAAATGTTATACCCGATATCGGGGGATTTTGACTCGGTTCTGTTCCACACTTGATTTTGTATTACAATATGTGAATACCAGTTGGCGCCGCACGCATTGCGCGCGCAACACAGATCTGCGGCGAATTTTGATGGTGCGACGAAAATTTTCAAATTTGGCTTGATACACCACGAATATCTGAATTCTCAGCTAAATTCTATCCGCTCCATCATCGACGGCTTTCAACCTCTTTTTCTTCGTCAACCATTATCCTCTTTTTCTCGGTCTCCGGACTGCTTCCGGACAATAAATCTCGTGGCAAACTCCGCCTACTTCGGTGCGTGCCCCCCACCAATAGCATTTGGCCCCCTTCCTTTCGCCGACCTCTACCCCTTTTTTCACCGGTCTCTGGGACCTCTTGGAAGCAGCTGATCTCTTTTCCCTCGCCAACCTCTAACCCCGTTTTCCCTATCTCTAGGACTTCTTGGAGCCGAGTTATGAATTTTCGTCGCAAACTCCGCCCACTTTGGTCAAGCCCCGCCCACCGGTGACAGCTGGGCTCCACTCCTCCACCCACCTCCATCCACCTTTTTCCCTGCCTCCGGGACTTCTTGGAGCCGAATTACAATTTCGGCGCAAACTCCGCCCACATTAGCGCACGCTCCACCCAACCGTAGCAGTTAACTTCTCTTTCTTTGCTGACCTCTATCCACTTTTTTCCCGTTCTCCAGGACTTCTTGGAACCGAGTTATGAATTTTCGTGGCAACTCCGCCCACTTTGGTCATGCTCCCGCCCACCAATATCCACTCCTCCACCCACCTCTATCCACCTTTTTCCCTGCCTCCGGGACTTCTTGGAGCCGAGTTATGAATTTTCGTCGCAAACTCCGCCCACTTTGGTCAAGCCCCGCCCACCGATGACAGCTGGCTCCACTCCTCCACCCACCTCCATCCACCTTTTTCCCGCCTCCGGGACTTCTTGGAGCCGAGTTATGAATTTTCGTCGCAAACTCCGCCCACTTTGGTCAAGCCCCGCCCACCGATGACAGCTGGCCTCCACTCCTCCACCCACCTCTATCCACCTTTTTCCGGCTCTTTAAGACTTCCCCGGCCCGAATTATGAGGACTTGTAGAAAATGCTGTACACTTCAGAGCGCGCCCCGCCCATTGTGGGCGGGCCTCCGCCCACGTCATGTATGCTGGAAACACCTTAGACATTGCTCCCCTACACCAATTTGTTTTCTGCTCTGTAGGCTTTCTCCCAACCGAGTTATGAAATTTTTCATAAAGCACTGCTTTTTTAGAGAACGCCCCGCCCACCGGGGGTGGGTCTCCCTAGTCGCGCCCGTGGGCGGGGCTCCGCTTAGCTGATGTGTGTTTTGTATTACATCCCACACTTGACCCGGTCCCTCCAGGC